AACTTATATTTTACTATATGTTGTAATTTACACAGAACAGTAGCAACACACAATTTAAATCTGATTTATTCTAGTAACTTCTAAACAACCACCCAATTTGTATTCCAAGAAGTCACACTGGTATAGCAATATACAACTAGGTTCCAACGCCACCTAGCTAACTCATGAATTAATTCATGTCACTATACCTTTCTGGATGTCAGCCAAAAAGACATACACGTGTACTTGTCACTACCTATCTTGAACACTGGCAGAAGAAGTGTCTGTCTGCTACATCTCTTTCTTAATGATGTCAGAAGTCATGTCTCTACTTGAAATTTTGTAAGCAAGTTTGATTGGCTCACCATACTGATCTGTCAGTGTGTGTGCACACCACTGTGCTTGTGCTGGTGCAACATGGTTTGCACAATGAGCAGCTATGCTGGCTAAATACAAAGTGAACCACAGATAGAAACTACAGTGGCTCTTGGAACATCTTCTGATGCAGTGCACTGTAGGACATGGGAGCAGAATATTATGGGCAAGTGAGACTATACAAAAGGGTTGTGGACACCTGCGACCAACCACCACAACACTGTTCTTTCAGTCCTATTGCCCCTTCCCATTTTTTTGCACGGCAGTTTTTTGAATGCCTAGAGTCACTTGCATTTTCACTCCCTACCATTAGCATGGATACTAATGAGGTCTCTTGCACAAGTCAGTAGATCCTGCTAGCAGACTATAAAAGTGGGGTTTTTTTTGGTATTTATTCCAATGGACAGTAGAAGTATGACACAGGGATGATTATACGATGTGGATGCAGACAAATGAATGAGAAGAATGTAAAGCAGTTAAAAGCCACAGCCTGAGTCAGACATTTGCCAACCATCTGAATGCAGCTGGACATTGTTTCTGGGCTCTGGAAACTAACATGAACTACTGCAATTACATCATGATGCATATCAGGGACAATCAGCAGTGGTTGCAAAAACCTTCATAAAAGGCATGCAATATTCCTGGATCCATGTGCAAAGCTTGCCTCTGTCCTTTAATGCTCTCACAAAAATGGGATGAGCTTTATGAATCAATAAACAGCTGGCAGTTGCTCTGTGAAAGCCACTCACACTGGACTGTTACCATACTGTGGGAAATCAGTTTGAGGTTGTAAAGTCCCCATTGGGCAGTTGTCCTGATGTGTTCAGAGCAGTTATGTAAGGGGACCTGGGCATAGGTAGTTCAGTCAACTGATTTGGGGCACAGGTCTGACACCGGGCAAGCCAAAGGCTGGGACCAACGGGGACACTCAAAAGACCAGGACTGCATACAACAGATAGGGAGGTGGACATCTTGAAGCCTGCAGTCTTTCTTTCTCCCTGACCTTGAGTGGCTCTTCAATTAAGCTCCTTCCCCAGAAACAAGACAAAAGTTGTCAAAGGTCAGGCCAAGAGAAATAGGTGTGCCAAGGGCAGCAGGAACCTAAGGATGAGCCAAACAGGAGCCAAGGGATCAACTGAGCACCATGAAAAGTTCAGAACAAGCAAACTAGCTTAAGTCTTAGGAATGAGAGTGAATGTATGAACCCCAGTGAGAGCCCTGAAGCCAAAGAAAACCTTTAAACACCTGAAATGCATTCTCTAGAGCCAATCCCAGGGCTTCCTTGGGCACAGTAGTAGAGGCTAGTATACCATCTATTCTGTCATTTACTTAAGATGGGGACAGACTCACCTAAACTAGCTGAGATCCAATCTTGAAACACTTACAAAATAAACTGAGGCTCTGGGCAACACAGAGAAAATTGAGGGGTATCAGATGATGCAGTTCCTGAACTGAGGGCTGTGAGCAAGTGATGGGACTCATATTCCTAGTTCACCTCCCCACTCCAGGCTCAAGAACATCAGGGCTAGGGACAGAAGCTACACATAAACCGGTTTAAGCGATCAGAAACTAATTTAAACCTGTAAGAGAACACAAGTTCAGTGCACATAAACCAGTTTCAAAATGTCTGTAACTGGTTTCAGATAAACCTGGTTGAATGTAGTATCAGACTTAACTGATTTGGGTCAAACTGGTTTATGGAACTTCTGTCCCAGATCCTTTCCTGGTTTAAGTTAAATCAGAATCCCCCAGCATCCTAGTATGCTTTTCAGCCCTGTACAGTGCTGTCTTTTCTAGAGAGCAGGACTGGTCCTGCCCCTCCTCCCTAGCTGGAGCACTATCACTGCTCTGGCTGACTGAGAAGAAAGTGGGAGACTGCAGTGTTTGCCAGGCTTTCCCCTGCCCCATCCCACTCCATGCTCAGTGCTCAAGCAGGGATCTCTCCCCTCCCTCCCCTCTCCCACAGAACATACCCTAGCCTGCATCTGGTCACAGTCACGCCACCCCCATGATAGCTAATACTGAGAAGTGTCTGTGTATGTGTGTCTCCAATTTCACTGAGACAAAGGCAGACAGAACAGTGTCCACTTAGGGCTTTTTGGAGCTAATCAATAGGTCAGCTGGTAATGTCCCTCCATTCCTTCCTTGGAAAAGCTGTTTAAGAAGAGCATGAACTAATGAGAGAGGCTTTTGTTTTCTTGATGGGCTGATAACATTTGTGTTATCAGTTCCCTGCTGGCTTTCTTGCCTGTCAGTTTGCTGTAGACAGCATGAAGTAGCAGGGAGAGGGAGATTAAAAAGCTCAGTATCATCAACAGATGCATGCTTTGCACATTAGCAGTCCTCCCTTTCCTCCCCCCTGCTTGCCTCAGAGTGTTAGCCAGGGGCTGGCAACACTCCTGCCCCTTGAGCAGCGAGAAGGGAAAAGTCTAGCAAGGGTTGCTTCCCACTCCCCCTCCAGGCACACCCCGGATAAGGACTGTGCAGGCAGGGTGGGGATTTAACCCCCACCCTCAGAGCACCTTGCCGTGGTCTGGCCACACCTCCCTCAACTCAGCACTGGTGAAGGGAAGTGAGGGGTCACTCTAGCGCCCCCGGCTTCTAGCCTGAGCCCCTGCAGGCATTTGCCTGCATTTCTCGATTCAAAAGTGAATGTCTATCCACTTGCAAATTGGTTCAAGATCTGCAGGTTACACTAACCTGAAAAAATTGAATCAATTCAGGCTCTGGCTTTTTGAATGTTTGTCCCTAGCCCAATAGAAAGGGATACTTCTCCATGGTGATGCAGGCACTGGTATTGCACAAGGGACAGTATAGTCATTAATCTTGGTTTGTTGGGGTGGGCATACACGGGCCTGTTCTAAAAGCTGCACTCAGGAACATTCTTTTCTAACTGTCCCATCTACGATGGAGGTATTTAAATGCCTTAGTCATGGGGGGGGGTTGACTTGTCCTAACCTTGCCTAATTTACGGTTTCCCAGCTCATAAAACGATTCCTTGGCAATCTGGATGGTAGCAAGAAGTGGTTAAACTATTGACTGAGCAGATGTAGTTAAGTGACCTTTTGGACATCAGAAAAGATGCTAGAGATCTCTCATGACAAGGCTCAACCAAACATCTCCCTTGTTTTTCTGCCTGCCATGTGCTGTGCAGTATTTGCAAAGCTAAAGGGGAAGCCTTGCCAGCAGTGTGGCAGGTGGAGATGGAGGGACTGCCTGCTGCTTCTGAGCTGCCAGAAATAAGTGCAATAATTAGAGCCTATGAGACATTATTTGGCTGAGGGTGGCCTTAAGAGAGTACTTCAGTGCTATGTTGTGAATTATGACAATATTTGCTACTAAAGACAGCACAGCCTTTGCACAGAATGGGGATCATGTCCCTGTGCATGGATGTAACCATCAGGGTTTGTTTTGTTTTAATGTTCTCAAGTGAATTCTATATGAAATGAGGACAATTTTATTTGGGGAAATAACCAATGGTGCTTAACTTTAGAGTAAACACAGAACAAGCAAACCTGCATCCAGTTGACCAAATCAAAACAGCCTACAAACTTAGGATATACAAAGTCCTGAGGAATGTACAAAATGGCCAGGAGCACATTGCCTGCAAGCTAGTATACATAAAGTCTGCTTCAGCCTCATAAATGTCTCTGTTTTTCTACTTCCCATGGAGCTGGGTTTGTACTTCTCCCCACAGACTGAGGTGATCCAACATCCAAATATCTGCCCAATTGAATCAGGGATCGAAGCTTTGCACAGCTCTCCTGCTTATATTGAAATAATGGGATAATTTTTTTTGAATATTTTGTTGTATACATTTTGAAATAGAGTAAATTTAATTATTTTTATCAGTTAATGTAATTTCATGTGTTCTGTACTTTTTTTTGTCTTTTAGGAAGTTTTTTAATATTTCTCTCCCTGCCATGCATTCTTTCATTGTCAAGCAAAGTCTTTATTCATATTTTTCCTTTTGTAAATAGAGCTATTTGTCTTATAAGCTTCACAGTTAACTTTTCATATTTGCGTTAATTAAGCCCTCATCATTTGTTCCACTGCAACAGATGATTCCCACAGTGTCATGATATATTTACTCTTCAGATGTTACAAAAGATGTTAATAATATTCAGGTGTCTTGATAGATTGTGATGTTTAATAAATCATTTTATAAACACACTTTTAGGGAGTTAGTGATGTCCCAGAGGAAGACATATATAAAGTACAGTTTGTATCTGCTTTAAATTCCAGGTATGAAACAATAAAAGACCCATACTATAAGAAACAAACAATCAAAATTAAATGCAAATGAATATATGGAAAATAAAAAATGATGCTCATGTTTCAGTTACAGAACTGCACCTCTACACCCTGCTCTGGTTTCTCTAAGTGCAATATTCAGCCTCCTGTCCGTGCTGATTTTAGGATGGAATCTCATGAATCTTCCATTCTTAGACCAGAATATAGATATACTACCCTGAATACCACTTACAAGCCTGCAGGTGTGATTGGATTTCAGGCACCTGCTTCTTCTCTCTCTAGGAACCTTAAATATGTTATACTGCTCAAGAAGGCTGTTAGCCAAAGAATTCTTTAAATTAGCAGTTGGAACAAGGCTTTAAAGAAATAAGATTTTTTAATATTTAGTCTCATCAAATCTTATGCCTCAGAACAAATTGTGTGTCTGGTTGTCCAGAGTGCTGGAGCATGGCAACAAGTACTACTGGTGCTTTACAGTCAGGGGTCTGGCATGTAGTGATCCCAGCATGCTTTGGGTGCTGCCACATTCGGAGGTTCCTGAAGGAGGCTGAGCACAGAGGAAAGTGCTGATTGGCTAGCCACTCAGAAATCCACACCCATGGCAGATTCCACCCCCGCCTTGCACTGATAAAGGCTCATCAAGTTCACTTCCAGGCTGCAGTGGATCCCGAGTGCCCTGCAGTTCTTGATTCAGTGGTGCCAGCAGGTCCTGTGAATACCATACTTCCATCAGTACAGAGTCAAGGCTGCCACCACTTCTCTGGAGAACTTGTACAGCTCCTGTGTGGTCTGGTGTGCTGCACCATGTACAGCCATGACTGAGGCTGTGGTGGTCTCTGGTCTGCCCATCAGTTTGGCATAGACAAGTCCACAGGTAGTGTGGGAGGTGTTCTTGGCTATCCAGTGGGTGATGGTACAGTGATTCACCTGCCTCATCAACATGTGGGAGGGCTCTGACACACTGTCTGCTTTGGGGGGGGGGGGGGATGACTGAAGAGTCTCCCCTTCAAAGCAGCCATGGCCTTTGCAAATTACAGCTGCATTTCACCACACAAAGCACACACATACTTCCTGTCCCTTGGCTTGCACCTGCCTGTAAGGTTTTGATGCTCCCTCCACTTCAAGAGAGACACAGAACAGTCTCCCTTTTGCCTCAGTCACGACATTTACCAGCTATAAAGCCAAGAGATGAATCTGAAGCACTTGGCCAGGAGCTCAGCCATCCAGAAGTTCCAGCTCTGTACTCTTCCTTGTAGATAAAGCCAGAGATGCTAACACAACAGGAGCAGGTAATTTTTTGCATGGCAGGAGGGCTTGGGAGGTGAATTCCTGACGTGTTTTGGGCAGGAAGGATTTTATCCATCATGAAGAAAGATAGGAATGAGCAGCGAGTCCATGTGGTGATGTGAGCCAGGCTCCATCCCCCTGGGGCAATAGAGTTCAGCGTGTCAGACAGATTCCCTGGAGCCATGGGGTGTGGGGATGAGGGGTAGGGAGAGATGAGGAGCAAAGTCTCTTGTGATACTGGAGGACAAAACCACAGCCTATGGAGCTAAGTATAATGGCACATGTAGCACTAGGAATAGTTGTGTTGCTGCTAAATTCATGTTGGAAATAGCTAACATTTTGTCATGGAATTGCCATAGTGTTTTGGCAACAAATCACTTGAGCAGTTGTATGTTCACTTTTTGGAGCCCAAAAACAGGATATACCTCACAACAAATGCCCATGGCCTGAAACATTTAAATTTGTCACCAATAGGGGGAGGCTTATGAACATGACAGACAGAACTTTAATGAGCCCTTTACCAACAGAACTCACTGCCTGAAGGGATAAGAAAAATTGCATACCTTCTATTAAAGAACAAACAAAATCCATTGCCTTATTCTATTTTTTCCTCAGTTGTTCCTAATGAGTTTTTAATCATATCATGATCATTTAAAAAATATCACTCAACAAGATATTCAAGAGATCTTCTTTTTTGATTAAAGCAGAGCATATTATACATATATTTCCTTTTTACTTACTTGAGAGAGAGACATGTATTATTGTGGGAAATGCCATATACAGATAGATTTCACTGATACCTTCAATACTGTCTCTGTTCTTTCAAAAAATAGGGCACTGGTCTTTGACTTGTATAAAAATTTCTCATGTATTGCTCCTCATTTGTAAAAACCTCTTCTCTATTGTATGTTTTACTTAGATTCTAAATCCCTTGGAGGATGAACATCTGGAAAGGACTTGCTGTATTTTCAGTGCCAACAAAGACATGTATGAATAACCTTTTTTTTTTTTCGACCTAGCACCTTCTGAGAGCACTAAGTTTACACACAAAAAATATCTTGGTGATCTACTCACCTACCTTTCTGACACATGAATCCCATTTGATGATGTCAGGAGTTCAGTGCTCAACATCTCAGCATAAGCGGAATTTAGCCTGGAGCTACAGCTTTGGGGGAGCCTGGTAAGAAAAGACAGATATTTTAAGCATTGTAAGATATTAAAAAGACCTAATGTGCAAAAAGGTAGAGGATGAAAACCTGGCTCTGCTCAAGTAAATTGAAAATTTGCCATTGACTTCAACAGGGCCAGGATACATCTATCTACAGTCTTTGGACACATATGAAAAGTGATGCAGACACTGTAAATTTGAGCTTGTCTTGTAAAATATTTTATTTTAAATGCATTATTTTTCAGGATTAAGATTACAGTTTATCCAGAACTGAAATGGTGTAATCCTACTCAGAAATAACTGATAAAGAATGGTGTGCTTTTTAAAGGAGCATAAATGGCTTTTAAAGAAAAATCTATACAATCGCAACATAAACAGCTGTGTGTATGTGTGTACAACTTCAGTTGAATGTCCAAGCTCAGCCTAAGCCAAGTAGCCAGAGACATTTGAGCATTATTTTATATTCACATTTTGTATTTAATACATTGGATTTTTAATTTCATTAGCTTTTCACAGTATGTCACAAAAATGATTACCATGTAGCACAGAGATATCCAAAGTAATTTTAAACTAGCTAGTTCAGATACTAGTTGTAGAGAGCTCAGTGCAGGCTGCAAACCCCACTGAGAAGCAAGGTAAATTGAACACCGTGCTGCCATGTCTATTCTATTATCAGTACTACCTAAGCTAATTAAGTTTAAAACTAGCTTGGTTATCTCTGCATTACACTGGTGACAGTCCTTTAGAACATACTGGAAAGATGCTCAATATTACTCATGGGAAATACTTTAGCCTACCACCTAAATGTAAGAAATTAGATTTTAGATCAAAAGGAATCTGTGTTCATCTAGGATTTGAAATGTGTGACTATACTGCACATCATGATCACCCAAAAATGTATATAAAGGAAGTACAGGTGGCACTAATATTGTTAAATCTATTTAAGAACTAACTAATGGTATTTATTACCACTGAAAAAAAAAGCCCTGATTTCTTGATCCAAATGGAAAACATCCTAGAGCTTGAAGCTGCACAGGACTTACGACTCACTTCTATAGTACAACAATATAAATACCCAATCAGTGGATTTGTAAGGAGCCTTCACACAAACTGAGTTAAAAAAAAAAGGGAAATAAAACATTTATTTAGAGCCCAACGAATATATAATGGTTTACATTTTGCACACAGACAGCTAATTTCACTAATGTTCAGCAGTAAAAATACACAGGTTTTATATTTATTTAGTACCTAATATCTTGAAGTGTGATACAACTACAGATGCACAGAATCTCTGAAACACAGCCATCTCAGCACACTACCCATCAGTATGAGGAAGGGAAATTTTGGCTAAGAAAATCAAGGGAAACCCCTACTCTTGTAATAAAAAGTGCCAAACAGATGGCAGCCAATCCAATGCATGGTGAGATATCAAAACAAGTGAAGCTGCATATCAGGACCTGATGTAGAAGAAAACAAAGAACTATTTAGTCTGTTAAGCTTTTGATTGACCTATAAATTAATCTAATAGTAGGGAACAGGGTTTTGTTTTATATAATTGTAGGGGTTCTGCTGGTGAACGTGCAAATTAAATGAGACTATTCACATGAGTAAACATTTGCTAATATAAGTAAGGAATCAGAAGGGAGTGAATTAGTCTCCTATGACTTCCCTTGAAACATACTATTTTAAAACACCAGAGGCATGAAAGAATCAGTAGTTTAGTCCTGAGAACCTATGGAGACACCAATTTAAAGATAAATAAAATATTCTTCATTTGGAAGGTTTTTATCTAGCATTGTTACAACTCCTAAAATTACTATATGATTATGATAATGGAATGGAATCTCAATTTTACCAGTGCACTTGATTGCACTTTTTTAGTAGGGTAAATAATACTCTGGCATGCATCTCAAGCAAAACCAAGGAAGTTATTCTTCCGCTTTACTCAGCATCATGGGCGACTGGTGCCTCCTGGCTCTGGTGGGGCACCAGCGGCCAATCGCCGATACAGTGGGGAGGTCCCCCAGCAGCCAATTGCCAATGGGGGTGTGGGTGAGGGTGTCCCTCAGTGACTGATCACCGACCCCGGAAGCACCAGCAGCAAACCAGAAGTACCACCAGCACTTCTCAGGGTGGGCATTGGCCAGTGCTCCCCAGTCCCTGACCGGCGAGGGCCCCTCCTACATGTTGGCTATGCTCAGCATTGGTGAGACCGCAGTGCCAGTACTGTGTCCAGTTCTGGGTGCCACACTTTAACAAAGACATAGTAAAGCTCGAGAGAGTCCAGAGAAGAGCCATTCGTATAATCAGACTTACATGGCAAGCCATACATGGAAAGGCTGAGGGACCTGGGACTCTTCAGCCTTAAAAAGAGAAGGCTGAGAGGGGACCTGATAGCAGCTTACCGCTACATCAGGGGAATACATCAGGGGCTTGGGGAAAAAATGTTTACCAGGACATCCTTGGGGAAAATTAGGAGTAATGGCCACAAACTCCTGGAAGACCATTTCAGGCATAACACTAGGAAAAACTTCACAGTTACGGTGTCCAGACTGCGGAACAGGCTCCCTCCAGAGGTGGAGCAATTACTTACCCTGGAAATCTTCAAAAGGAGACTGGATGGTCATCTCGCTGGGGTCATTTGACCTCAGTTGTCTTTCCTGCCTAGTATTCTCTTTAAATTGTATGATTGTTTCACACAGCAACAAGAGAGAAAAAAATATTACAAATGTGATCCTCTGCCAGGTGTTAAATGCAAACAAAAATATATTGAGGGATCCTCTTAAATAATTTGAACTTTTGATCACCTAGGCACTTGGGAAAACTGAATGCACCTTCCTTGGATGCCCTTAACAGAGGGGACTGCCTCACTTAAGAACATGCCAAGACAGTGTATAAATGAGGAAAGGAAGTGAGGGAAAGGGAATAAGTTATGAACTTGGGAAACATGACAACATAGTATACACATGTATAAAATGTAAAAGACCCAACTCTTCTAGTAACTTTGGAAGTAGTCTCTATAACTCTTTTCTTACCCACCAATGAGAATTTCCAACAGATCTATGCTGCCAGAACTAGCTTTCCCCACTCCATCAAATCCCATTCAGTCTGGATCAATGAGTAGCCAGTTTGTGTCTAGTCCCAACAACCTGCTTGCTGGGTCCGGCCTGGAAGCAACTTCACCTGACCCAGTTTAAGGAGCTGGGTGTCTGAGGAAGGTGCCTGCAGTTCACTCAGCTCTAACTGTTTTCTACTCAGTCTTTCAAGGCAAAATCCTTTCATCTTCCACAGCAAAATCCCCATGGGAAAGCAGCCAAGAGCACTTAGTAGTCTTGATGCTTGGAAATTACATCTCTGCAGCATTGCCAATCCCACTGTGTCAAAAATTATGAGACAAACTCTTAGTTTCATAGCTGGTAGGGTCGGAAGGGACCCGAGCAGATCATCAAGTCCGACCCCCTGCCATAGCAGGAAAGAGTACTGGGGTCAAACGACCCCGGCAAGGTGTTCGTCTAGCCTCCTCTTAAAGACTCCCAGGGTAGGAGCCAGCACCACTTCTCTTGGAAGTTGGTTCCAGATCCTAGCCGCCCTGACAGTGAAGTAGCGCTGCCTGATGTCTAGTCTCACTCTACCCTCTGAATCTACCCTCTTAAAAATCAAGAGATTTGGAATGTAAAATCATGAAATGCTATTTTTGAAATGTTTGTGTGTGGGGAGTTATTTGTGAAGGTGCGGGAGGCTGTGGGTGTGCGTGGGGGGTTTGGAGCCCAGGGGGGAGGTCAGGTCCTGCACACCCTGCCAAGATGCGGGCTACCGTGGGTCAGGAGTGAGGGGCAGTTGCAGGGCTGGAGCTTCAGTGAAGGGCAGACACACACACAGCTCTGTTGTATAACTTCCCCTGGCCCCAGGGCCCCCTTCACCCCAGCCCCTGCCCCACTCCCTCCCTTGCTGTGGTGACCTTGATGTACACCCACTGCCCCTTCCAGCAGACTTACCAGCTTGGTGCTCTCTACATACATATAAAGAAAAAAAATCCCCAGATCTGGTGTCTTTATCAGGAAATCATGAGTCAGAGTTAATTTGACTTGGAAATCAGGAGTCTTGAGATTTTTTCATGAGTTGGCATTACTGTCTGCCACAGTGAAAGAGCTCTTCTTCCTCCTAGTCTATGAAGTCACTAACCCCCAAAATACAAGTTCGTTAGAGTTACTGTTAGATCATAGCCCATAAAAACAAAGCCATCTGTAGCAGCACTCTTTTATTCACCCAAGTATGGAAAAACAGGAGGGCCTTTCCCCTCTGAAGCTTGTAGTTATATAGCTTTAATGACTTTTGAGGACAGAAGCTTGTAAAATCACAACTTGTGCAAGGCTTATGGCTAAGCATGAAATTACTTTGATGTCATTTGGTGAAATTGATTAATGCTTACATTGACCCTCAAAATAAACCAAATAAATTAAACGATGTAGCTATTTCCCCTCCTAAAAGCATTTTTATTACAAAGAGCTTTTAAGTGTGCAAGAGGTCTCTCTGACCATTAAAAAAAAAAAAGTGCCATTGTTTCAGAGAGAAGAATCGCTTGGAGGGGAGGAGGAGACAGGGAAGGGGGGAAGGCGATTCCAGGCACCATGTTGTGGCTGTGCGTGGAAAGCAGAACTAACCAGCTTGGCTTTGTCGCTGGGGCCAAATGAAAGAAAGCAGGGCGCAGTTGGCAAGTCAATTACATGCAGAAAACTGCGTACCTTTTTAACAAAGTTTGGAAGAAATATCTCGTTCTAGGAGGGGAAAGAAGCGAATCAGCAGAGCAGTTAGGCCTGGTGGAATTCACGCGCAGCGACCACCTCTCAGGTCAGGGCGGCCTCAAAACAGATACCAGCCTAGCCTGACACCAGCCTCGCGGAGCAGGGATGACCACGGGTTTGTGACACGCAAGGTGGAAGACCAAAGAGCGACAGCGATTAGCGCGAAGTCGGCCCACAAGCCCTCAGGCAGGAAGGACGAGGCTCCGCCGGGCTGGGAGCAGCCGCTGGAGCCCGGGGCAGCGGCGCGAGGGCACGGGGCGACGCTCAAGGGAGCCCCCCGCCCCGCCGGCCGCGA